AGAAATGTCGCGGGAACTAAAAAACTTTGGCAGTTAGCATAATATAATATATGGTAGCCAGCAGATATAGGGTAGGATCAGGTGCCTGCTGCAGGTATATCATGTAGAGTACCTTGGTCTTGAACGACCATTTAATTCTTGAGGTCACACTTGGAATTTCTTACCATGTACTGTTTTCATAAATTGCGACAAATTCAGCTTGGAATTAATAAATGCCATAAATCGAATCCTAAAATCGTAGATTAAACGGGCATTACAACCCTTAGAAATACAAAATATTACTGCCAACTGTATATTAGATACGAATAAATTCTACAAACTTATAATCTAGACAGTAGACACGATTATAGTACTGATATGGTATCGCATCAACATGGATTTCGCAAAAAGAGAAGCTGCCTAACTCAACTCTTAGACTATGTAGATACCATATTGAAAAGCTTGAACAGTGGCGAAGAAGTAGATGTCAAGTTACGCCAAAGCGTTTGATAAGGTAGACCACAACATACTACTTGCAAAAGCAAAACGTTACGGAATTCATGGAAACATACTCCAGTGTTTAAGTGAATTCCTAACAAACCGTCTCCAGACAGTGGTCGTTGAAGGAACTAAGTCATCCTTCCAGCTGGTGATAAGTGGAGTACCACAAGGTACAGTGTTGGGACCGATTCTGTTCATTCTCTACTTCGATGACCAATTGGACGCACTGCTTACCTCTCTTGGAAAGATATTTGCTGATGACACCAAACTCATCGGTAAAATATTGGACCTGGCCACCAAAGCATCGCTACAAGAAGACCTCTTCAATGTCATTGCCTGGGCTCGAAGAAACAATATGCAGCTCAATGAAGCCAAATTTGAGATCCTCGACTTTACGCTCAATAATTCGCTTCTGCTACGAAATCTGCCATTTACAAATGATCTGCTCAGTTACAGTCTTACAACAGGTCAAATAATTGAGCCAGCAGAAACTGTCAGGGACTTGGGGTGATTTTATCAAACAACTGCTCTTGGACTCCCAACATCCAGAAAATGATCCAATCAGCAAGCACTATGTCATCCTGGGTTCTAAGTGTCTTTAAGGACAGATAACAATTTCTAATGCTTACACTCTTCAAAACTTCAAAACTATGGTGCGGAGTAAGCTAGAATATTGCTGCCCTGTCTGGAATCCAGCCAAGACCAATACAAGGACATAGAGGCTATAGAAAACGTTCAACGACAATATATCCGACGCATTAACGGATGTAGTGGTTTAGACTACTGGGAACGTCTCACGAAACTCAATATAAATATCATATCATTGCAGAGACGTCGAGAAAGGTACATCTTTATCCACACATGGAAAATTCTCAATGGCCTGGCCCGAAATGATATTGGCATGCTGTTCAAAAACAACCCCCGACATGGAATAAAAGCCACTGTACCGGCACTGAACAACACATCACAGCGCTCTGTGGCAACTCACTCTGTGGCAACTCAGTATAAAAACTCATTCGGAGTGAAAGCGGCACAGCTGTGGAATCTTCTTCCCAAAGAAATAAATTCCATCTCTACTTTGGACCCGTTTAAATCGTCACTGGCTAAATTCCTTAAAGAATTCCCCGACAGGCCTCCGACTAAAGGATACACCGCTACTAACAACAACTTACCCTTGGAATGGTACTTACAAAAAGATCCCAGTGGAGTGATAGGAGGACGTACTTGATACTGTTGTCCTGAAGCGATCCCAGCCAAACCTACTCAAAGTACTCAAAGTAAGTTTGAACTTGGGATGAAACTAGGATAACTAGAAGTAAACTGGTTCTATAAGATGTGCTGTAAGGAAAAAGATTTATAAAATCACTTATTGAATTTATAAATGTGATAAGAATCATTACACAATAATCATTACACAATTACAATCGAAAAAGAATAAAACACACGAAGACAAAAAAATGGCGACTTGAAAGGACGATTCAAATTTGTATAATCCTTGGCTAAATGGATTCCCGTTAATTCGGTGGAGAGTCCGCAGTAGTCCCATTGCCTTAGTATTGCTGTACAACCACTACAGAAGTATACCCGATAACACTCGACCTCTGACTGATCCAGAGGATGTCACCATTTCACCTTCACACAGACATCGAACGCTGTATTAGAAGATGACGATCTGACCTCATTAAATTCGGTAACAAGACTGAACAGACTGAATAAACAAAGATCCGTTTGTTTACATTCCAGTTACATTACAGTTAGCTAATGTAATGTTCTCTAGCTCGATTAACCCCATAGAAAATAAGCTATATTGATTTGATGTGGAACCAGCCATTGTTCACTGGTCTGCTAAAGTGATGATAGCATCGTGAGTACCGGAAACTTAGCCAACTTTTTTGGCAGCTGACCAACCTTGAATAGATTGTAGTCCCACATTCAAACAACAATTAGGCGCCCCCCCCCCCCCCCCCCCCCCCCCCCTCTAAGATGGCCTTGGTCTTGAACCACCATTTTATTAACAATTCTTTAGGTCACACTTCACTTTCCTACCATGAACTGTTTTTACAAATTGTATTCTCAGGGAGGTACCGGGCTGGAGGAGGTGGTGGTGGAGGAGGTGGTGGAGGAGGAGGCAGTGGAGGAGGTAGTGGGGGAGGTAGTGGTGGGGGAGGTGGTGGAGGAGGCGGTGGAGGAGGAGGCAGTGGAGGAGGAGGTGGTGGGGGAGGTAGTGGTGGTGGTGGAGGAGGCGGTGGAGAACCTCTGCCCCCCCCCCCCTGTTTTTACCGCTCAGTTAATAAATGAGCACCGAGATTTGACACTTACCCTTCATACCTAGTTCATACCGTGATGGACCAGTGGCAAGACCAGTGGCAAGGCGCCAAGGCTTTCGTTGTATCACGTTGCGACCCCCACGGTCGTTTCACCCCCCACGGTCGTTTAACTATGGCGGGGTCGTTTCACTATGGCGGGAGCCGCGCACTTCGTGCGCGGCGGGTCATACAACGTATGACAACGCTACTGTGTACTGCAAGAGAGAGGGCTCTGGTTAGAGCAACCTTGACCATTGTTAATGGTCTGGCCCGGCTCGCGCTACTTCGTAGCACTTGCCGTCGAGAAGAAAGCGGCGCGCGCTACTTCGAAGAAATTTAGACGAGTAACACCCGTCAATTAGAGCAACCGATCTAGCTGTGAGAAGCCTCATAGTCATTGAGTGCGCAGCGTGGCACAGTAACGCATCGCGCTGGAAACCTATTAACATATTTCATACGTATCGTATTTACCTGGGGACCGGACCTTTGTATTACGTGGTGACTCCCACTGTTGCTTCACCATTCACTATAATAGTGAAACTCTACCCCTGTAGAGTTTCTACGATACAGGGGAGCCGCGCACTCGTGCGCGGCGGGTCATACAACGTATGACAACCGGACCTCAGGCTATTATATTTGGCTCTTACTAATTCGCTCGCCCAAAAATTTCACGTGACTTTGGTTTCTATGGTTTTGCAGCCGTACAAAACGGTTTTACATAAACCCTAACCCCAACACCCAACTCTAACTAGTCAGTGTAATAAGCGCCAAGCGCGAGCACAGAACTTTTTTTTCCCGATTTCGATAAATTTGGTACCAAAAGTTGTCTAAAAATGTGAATAAAATAAATCCACCGTGTAGCAATTGTCGCTAAAAATGCTACACGGCGCTTGTTCGCCGCGCGTACTTTTTTCGCGCAAATTTTTAGTTTTTGGCTTATAACTTTCACATTTTCAGTTATTATCACATAATTATTGTGGAATCGTAATCAGCTCATCGAGACGAAACTTTTAGTACTAATATTTTAAGATTTAAAGGAAAATTATTTTCAAAATGTTTCAATCTGAACACAAGGGTGAAATTGTGTGTGTGTGAAATTGTGTGAAATTTTGAACAAATTAAAAAAAAATTTGGTGCTTCAAATATTTTAATTTTGGTACCAAAAGTTGCGTCTGACTAAGTTCATTACGATATATATATAATATATATATAATACTGTAATAATTATTTCAAAATATTCAATATTTTAGGAGTTATAGGCATTTTAAGCAATAAATTACCCATTTTTCGTCCTTTGTACATTCTTGTAATGCACAGGAGGCCCACATATAGCTCGACGTTATTTTGCTACACGGTGAATTTGCATTATTCACACTTAGAGGGAACTTTTGGTACCAAATTTATCAAAATCAGAGACAAAAAATTCTGTGCCAACTCATGGCGCTTATTACATAGACTAAACCATAACCCCGTTACCTGAGGACCCCAGGCTATTATGTTCATTAACATATATAGATTTGGCGGAATGACAGGCTGAGCGCGGCCCAGTAATAACCCCGAAGCTAACCATAACCCTTACCACAACCCTAACCCTAACCTGAACCCTAAACAATCGAATTCATGGTTTACTAGCCTGTCACGTGACTAAAACGGTTTTGTTGCCCATAACTCTCCGTGGAAGCATTTTTATCCTACTTCATGTCATGTGGGGTGATTCGGAATCAGCGTCCAAAATAGTAATACACCGATTTAGATCAATTTCACACCCAAAAGGCCTTTTCACAAGAATTTTCTTAAAATTTGGGCGAGCGATTTAGTAGGAGCGATTATATTTATGTCCATAATCCGAATAGATATTAGGCGGAATGACAGGCTGAGCGCCGCCCAGTAAGTATCGTATCAAATTGGATGCGCTTTCGGAGGATACGTTATATAATAGCTCACATCTGACCCGTTACTTTGACCCCAACCCTAACTCTGACATGGCACGCCAATCCCAATGCGCGGTGCTCTTTTCAAGCTTCAGCTCGCATACGTGAGAGAATCGAGCAATAGATTAGCAAGCTTAGTTTTAGTAACCCTAAACTGAAGCATCTGCTAAAACCTTAATGTGAAATTGTACCAGCAGTCAGCTGCAGCAGTCAGGAGCAGTTACTTTGCACTTTAGTCTCCCTGTGACAAGTTCGGTGTATGCACAAAAGCCAGACAACCATGTTTTATAAAACGTTCATAAAAATACATCTCATATATCACATATCGAATCAACAGAAATATCTACAAAATTCTTTCACCAAACAGACAAAGAACGGTATATTCCCTGAAAAATGTCCGAAATAAATGACCCTTGAGTTGTGACATCACGAAGAAATCTTTGATCTTGTTATCAATGTTATATCCTACTTTGTTAGCTTTATAAAAACATCTTGTTCAGTCGAGCTGATTCGTAGAATCAAGAAAGAAGATCATGGCATTTGGTGCCAAATATTGGAAACAGCGATTAAGTCAACCGTTAACGTACTAATCCTACTCCTACAATGGATACAAAACATCTTCTGCAATAACAAAGGATGAAACTGCGCCCCTTCAAGAGTTTTGTTTCAGGCACATTTCATAGTAAATTCCCCAACCAATATCTAAGACAGAGTAGATTCTAGAGGTAGGTAAGAAAAGTTAGTGAAACAACGACCTAATGAGTTTGAGCTAATAAATAATATCCCGCGAAATAGAATTAACGGGTCTTCCCCGTATTTCTTCAACCAATGTTAATGATTCCGTAGGCTTTCAGAGATGCCACGATGATGTAGGTAGACCAGAGCAATAAGCATATTGAACCGGTCATGAATTTGACAACAGTGCTGCCTCCGAGTTCACCACCCAGTATCTGAAATGAAAGGGAGGACATTTAGAACACTCACAGACAACCATCTTCAGGCTTTAGATGGATTTTATTTTTAGTATGATCTACTTCTAGTAATCTATAGAGGAAAAAAACAAATTTCTGATAGTCAAACTTAAAAAATTATTTATTAGGTATCATATTATTAATTAATAATTAAGTATAATTAATAGTTAATTAAGTAAACTCACCACTCGACGTAGGATGAGAGTAAGAAGAGCAAACAAAGCCAACATGACAAATAAGATCACAGAAAACTCGAGGTTAAAGGTGCCAACCATAAAGGGTCCTGGGATGGTTTTGTTAAGTAATGGCCGGAATCAGGATCAAAACAAATGATTATAAGATGAATGCACGATTTGTACAATTGTCTGTCAAAATTTGACGATTATCCAGTTATCGTATTTATTCGATGGCACCTAGGTGGAGCATTAACCACCAAAGAGTCAAAGTTCTAAAATATCTGACATACCGCTCTGATCAGCCTTTTTCCAGAAAACTGCCAGCAACCAGGGTAGTCCCAAACCCAAGAATACATTCACCGAGTTACTTCCTGAGGATTTGATTTAGAAAACTTAACAATCATATTTAAGAAAGCTCATTATATTGACTTCTGCAGAACTTAAGTTAGAAGATATATTAGTCAAAAATTTGCAATTTAAGAAGGAACTATCAATTAATTAATTAGCTAATTACCTGTGACGTTGCCAATGGCAGCATCTGCGGAATCATCGTGAATAGCAGCAGACCTAGAAGCGAAAGTGTCGGGCAAACTTGTACCCAGAGCCACTAAAGTAATACCAGAAACAGCCTGTTTGATGCCCCAGACACAACCCAGTAAACTGGCAATCTGTTCCACAATGGCGGTCAACACACCAATGAAAAAGAGAGACACCACAAACGCAGGGTACCCAGAGCCACAGAACCTGAGGTTTAACCAATCGTTTAATTACTGAGTCCAGCAAAATAGGAATTATCAAACTTTTAAATAACTCGACAATTACGTTGACGCTCCACTTGCTTCACTCTGATTTATACTTTTCATGATTTTCCGTCTGAACTTCTTTACAGAATGAGTAGCATAAGGCTGTCAGATAATTAACTCATGCACATATTTCTATTCTGTCCACTGACCTCGGAGGAACGATTGAGAAGAGAACTTTCCAGAAGAGAGCGATAAAATGCATGATAAGATCTCCGATTGAGGGTTCCTCTTCCTCGCCGTCCTCATCAACCTCACCTCCCATCGTCAGGGCGCTATGGGATGTTAATAATTTCAAGTTCAGTTGAAGGGGTTGACCACGTTTTACGCAAGTCAAAAAGTTAGTTTCCATTAAAATATAATTATTAAACCTTATCATTTGAATAGTTTACTTTCACCAATAAACCTTGACAAACGCTTCAAGCTAGGAGTCAGGACCAGCCACTTATAAAATCTCAAACGTTTACAAGCGTCACAGAACAGTCCAGGATGCCAAAGTAATCAGAGCTCACAACCTATACGAGCAGCCACTAAGAAACCGCGCAGACACCGGCAAAGACTAGTCACATTCACAGTCTGGGGGGGGTGTAACCCAAAAAAACCCAATCCCAGTATGACCTTTTTCAGGGTAGGAGTTGGGTTTTTTTGGGTTTTTTTGGGTTTTTTACAAATTTTTCATTTGAAGGAAATAAAATCATGTAGGCACCTAGCAAAACAATTATCAGTACAACATCACTGTTGTTGTTCATCACTACAACATCACAATAGATATAATCGCTTAAATATCACCCAAAAGCAGTATTTTATTCACTGATGTGCTCAGAAGAAGTTGGCCATCCAGATATGATATCAGCCATATATGTAATGCTCACTTCGATGGCCATGGCAAATTGAGTTAGTAGGGACGCAACTCACTGATGACCCCAACCCTGACCGCAACCGGTACGAGAGGAATAAAGCCTTTCTTCTCACCTTCACGATCTCTGTTTCCGTTTTCCTGATCATCCGCTTAACGAGAAACCATGCTCTATCTCCAACTGAAAGAATCTTGCAGTTACCATCAGCTGCGTGATCACATGTGATATTAAGTGATATCTTCGCTTGTTTATGGCCCTGGAGTCGCTAAAATCTTGACTGGGATGGCATTCGATCTCGCCCTCCATTGAGGCAAACCTCAACAGCCGTATCATGATGCAGAGCATCACCATACACAGTTACTATTTTCGCCCATTCCTCTGATGAGTCAATATCCTCCACTTCCTCTTCTTCATCATCTGTTTCCGCTTCGTCACTCTCTACTCCGTCAGAAGATGGTTGGAAAGCCTCTCCTTCAAAGTTACAGTGTTCTTGAATGAGTTCTCTACCCCTTGAGACTCCCTTCTTCATAGCTTGGAACAATCTTGGGATTGAAGTATCTTTACCTCAAAATAGTTTCTCTGCTTTCGGATGCGGTATAACAAGCTTGTTGCGAGAGTGGGCAACTGTTACAGGGATCAAACTTTTGCCGAGTGCATCAAGCTCGAGGGGATGGTTTGATTTGCCCATGCCAACCAACATATCCTTAGAACACAGATTAGTTCTAATGCCTGCATGGAGGCCTATGCGCAGGAAAGCATGAAGTTTGCTCACAGGCATCGGATGTAAACAGCCAGGGCATAAAGTGTTGATAACTGTTGTCAGCTGTTACACTGACAATGTACAGCATCAGACCCTCGACTGTAATAATCGCATCATCAACATTTTTACAGACGTAGGCAGGTGGTCTTTCAATGGTTGTGTGAAGCTTAGGTGGCCCAAGGCGTCACCGCTGGATAGAAGCTGGGTGGAAGCCCTGGTCTGATGTGAGGCTCCCGAACTTTGAAAAGGGGTATCCTGCTGGTGCCCTCTTCCAGACACTCATCGGACAGCATGATGAAAGCCACTACCTCCGCGTGGTGAAGACTGGATACTGGACAGGGGGTCCAGGCTAAAGGCAGGACGGTCGACGGGAGACATTGAGCCCTGGAAGTTCAATAATTTGATCTATTGACTCCTTAACTCTTGGTCTACAAGAGGCTTTGAGACTCGTAAATCTTTACTGTTGATTGCACAGTAGCTAAAGAGGTGTTGGCTGTTACCCTGTTCAACCTAGTCTACTATGACCCAGCTAGACTGGACCACACTCTGGTAGTCAGGATACGGCTCCCTATGCCCGGGGTACCGGGTAACGAGGTAGTCAGGGGAAGGGTTAGTCCCCGCTAAAGTGTAGCTCTGTTCTCACTCTAACCTCCTTATGCTTTGGGATAAAATCGGAAAGTCCCACACTGGAGCAGGTGACGATTGGGTAAGGATTACAACTGATGCTGTTGGGTAGAAAAAGGAAGTGTCACATTTGTCTTGTATAGCATATATTCGTGCAATTACATGCTCAAGATACCCAAGATATTATGGTGAGAGTTAAATATGGCTATTGTTCAAGCGGATGCCCTTAACCTTTTAGTGGCGCAAGAGTTAAGAACACAATCCACTGCCAATGTGCAGGGGACTGCACAGGATTGTGAGCCAACTGAAAAGTGAAGATGAAGTTTATCAACAGCTGAAGGGTTAAAGCCCCTTATTTTTCTAGTGGAAGTGGCTGCCGGGGTAATTACGCTGCTATTTCAGAAGCTGATGACTCGGTCTCCACAACACGACAACCTATTTCTACAGAAAGTCAAACAAGAAAACATCAAAAAAATATGAACATCAATTGCATTGTATCATGTAAAAGGGCTGCTCAGGTTGGCACGTTTAACATAAGAACAGCCAGAGAACGCATCGAACTTGAAGAACTATTTTCTCGAAGCAAGCTGCACATCCTTGCCCTGCAAGAATCGAACATCGGGTAGTGCACTAGTGCATGCTGATTGCTGAGAATACCAGAATAGAAAAGATGAACAAAGGGATTCATCCAGTGATCTCATCTGCGTGGAGAAACGCAGCTGGCGCTTCTAATGGGAGAGTAGGAATCATCTTGACGAGGACAGCATATGAGGCTATAAGTCTTATAAAGTTATAAAATCTTACAGCGCAAGGATCCTCACCATGTCTCTTAATGGAAAGCCCAGGCTCACTGTCATCACATGCTACAGTCCTACAGAAGCCTCATCTGATGAGGAGGCAGGAAATCTCTTTTGTCTAAAACCAAGGATCTTACAGTTAATTTAGTAGGAGAGGAGCCACACACAATAATTTCTAAGGACGGACATGCCTTAGAAGAAGTTGAGGATTTTAGTACAACGGAGCACGACTTTAGGTTACGCAAGGCCAAGGCATGGGCTGCCTACCACAAAATGTAGGCTATATGGAGGTCCAATTTGTGCCGAGATTTAAAGATCCGTCTGTTCAAGCTACGGTTGAATCAATCTTCCTGTATGGAACGAAAACGTGGACAATAACAGAATCTTTGAAGAAAAGAATAGACGGATGTTACAGTAGAATGCTTCGGATGGCCCTAAACGTGGACTGGAGGGGACATCGCACCAACAAGGAGGTCTTTGGATCACTCCCAAGAGTTATTTCGAAGATACAGGCCAGAAGAATGAGGTTGGCTGGGCACAACCAGCGACATGATGACCTGGCAGCACACCAACTTCTCCTTTGGGAACCTAGGGAGGGATAGACCACCGCTCACCTTCGTCGATAACCTAATAAGTGACACTGGACTCAAGAACACTGGGGAGATTCAGGAGCTTATGGCGGACAGAAAGCTTTGGAGACACATCATCGAGAGTCGGACTCTGAAGCCGCCTTAAGTCAAGTAATTTAAGTCATGTGCTTTGACTTGCCTTGACCTTCGTCATAGCCTCCTTCCATGACAGGAGAACACATTTGCCGCATTTGGCACATTTCCACTTTGTGCATTCATATGGATTATATCTCGATGAACGAGACATCCTGTTTGCTATCGTGATAACATACTATCAATATAAACACACTTATATACTATGTAAACTATCTATTAAGTTAAGACATGAGAACAACACGTAGGTAAGACTCAGTGGGAAATAATTCACATTCAATACAATTAATGAAATGGCTAGAATTTTGTTTAAATTTTGTTTAAAAAACCCAAAAAAACCCAATCCCAGTATTACCTTTTCTTGGGTAGGAGTTGGGTTTTTTTGGGTTACACCCCCCCCCAGTCTACCTATATCGTCTGCTTCATTATATTTTAGCATATTTACACTTAAATATTTGCATGGTTAAATGTACTGAGTTGATTACCATTGGTTGTTTTCATCAAGAAGTGGCGGTCAGAAAGGCCACTGATCTCCGAGTGATGACTCAATATTAATTATTAACCATCTATCTAGTACAGTAATATATGCCCAAAATCTGTAGAGTATCTGCACGGTGTGAGAAACACAGGCCTTAATCCATCACATTTTCAACCTAATTACAAAAACCCAAGTTATAGGATGGCTGTGACATAGTTAGTCTAACATTATTGTATACGTGCTTCAAAAACAAATGATAATTATAAATTACGTTACCTCGTGAATTGTTCAAGATAAGCCTCTTTGAGCGGCTTGTCCTCGTCATCGTAATTACCAGCGATCTCAGCCAACAGAGCCTCGTCTCTGCTCTCCCGACAACCTGCACAATCGGCGGGATCAGTAACACACTTTCAGTAACACTTTCAGTAACACTTTCAGTAACACACTTTCTCACTTTCCAAGAGTGGAAATAATTGGATTGGCGTCTAAAACTTGTCACCCACTTGTTGGATTAAAATAACTACACCAAATATGGAGCGAAAATGGCCATTCTGTGTGATCACGACATCAAAAGAGTTGTCATCGTGATATTATTACCCTTAGTCAGCAACATTTAAACAATGTTTAAAATGCCGCGATGAATCATCACTCGTTTGTGCCAATATCAAAGTCAACTGGTATCAAATATCTATCTATAGAGTCTGGTGAGTGTGCATCTATTAGATCACCAGTACATACACTATACAACTACTCAACTACAAAGGACACGGAACATATTAACTAACTGTGCGAGGTAAGATCTACATTCAGCTTAAGAAAACGTTAAAAACCACCGTCAGTTTTATGGATGGTGTTAAACGGTTTAAAATAACGAACCTTCAGTTTTACAGATGGTGATGACCATGGCACATTCTTCTCCCAGAGTAGCGCCGAGTAGAGGGCGCTGTAGGGCAACAATCAGGGTGCTATGATCCTGGAGGGGCTAGTGTGAGTCAGTATCATAACTTAATGTGATCCTGGAGGGGCTAGTGTAAGTCAGTATCATAACTTAGTGTGATCCTGGAGGGGCTAGTGTGAGTCAGTATCATAACTTAATGTGATCCTGGAGGGGCTAGTGTGAGTCAGTATCATAACTTAGTGTGATCCTGGAGGGGCTAGTGTGAGTCAGTATCATAACTTAATGTGATCCTGGAGGGGCTAGTGTGAGTAAGCTAGTGTGAGTAAGTTTCATTCTCCTGCAGGGTCTTGTTGAACAAGACCCTGCAGGAGAGTTAACAATTCAGCTTGTGATCTGTTACCAATCAGAACACTAGAATCTGGTGCTGCCTAGCAACCAATCAGAGGGCTGGAATCCAGTCCTGCCCAACACATGTCCGAACAGGTATCCTGGTGTCCACTAGTAACATTCTACCTTTCACTTGGTAGTTCATGGGACACATTGGGGCTTCTTAACAAGTTAACAGATACGTACGTGCTTTACTCACCTTATTATATAAACTATATAAACTACTAGAAACTATTGTTTCGGAAAGTTTAAGAGACCTCTGTCTATTAACAGTATCTATTAACATATCTATTAACAGTGTCTATTAATACACCCTGCATGAACTGTGACAAGTAGTCGATTAAATCATCATGTTCTCACGTGTGCGTTAGGGTTGATAACAAGGTCGATTGTTTTGGCAGCCTCTCCGTGTCTGAACCAGAGAGTTCCCTGCAGTTTGATATAATCGCTTCCGTCGTTCTGGGAGTCTCCTCCAATAGCTGTAGCGTCACTGAGGGAAACATTTCGTTTAAATGATCATATTGTGACACGGTTAACCGAGTTATAGGGCGCCGTGACACTTACCCCCCAATTATAATACCTTAGCACAAATCGAATTTTGACCAAAAATCGAGCATTTCCAAAATTTTGAGATATTAGTAAACTCGATTAACCATTAGATTCAAATTGTTAGTCTCTTAAACTATTTGCCGCTGTAAAGGAGTACTAATAGAGTAACTAACGGAGTAAACTCAGTAACTTATACTCAGTAACTTATTGAGTAACTAAGAGAGTAACTAAGAGAAGTTGGTAAGTAACCATGGTAACCAACATAGTAAAATTAACGCCCGGACTTTTAACAGGCCTGTCTGACGTCTTGAAATTAGTGCCTGAAAAGTTTTTAAAGTACCCAAAGTGAGCGAGTATCTTTACTCGACAAACGAGTTGCAGCTAACACTACTTCTATAAGTGCATGATAGGTTGATTAAGTTTAGATGGTGGCCTTTTTAATGGTTACTGGACATTTAAACTTTTAAACAAAACTGTGACGTAAATGGTTTACAAATTAGGATATCAATTTGAGAAAAATGACCTCTTTGCATGTTTGAAACTCACTCGTTGACATTACTATCTAAAATTTTGAGTTTTGAACTAGTGGAAAGTACGTCAGTACGACACGTATCGTGTGCTACTTGTAGCTGTTAAACTGTTATCCAACCTCAAAAATGTAGGCAATTACTGGGATGCGAATTCCTGAAACCATGAAAACTTTCTGAAATACGATTTCTTGACGGCAGCTTACATGGGGAGTCAAAATTCGATAATTTGTAAAGCGGCTAATATGAGAAACTATACATTTCAGAAGTATGGACATTCTGTATTTATAAGTATAAAGCGGCTAATATGAGGAACTATACATTACAGAAGTACGGGCATTCTGTATTTACAAGTATAAAGCGGCTAATATGAGAAACTATACATTACAGAAGTACGGGCATTCTGTATTTACAAGTATAAAGCGGCTAATATGAGAAACTATACATTACAGAAGTACGGGCATTCTGTATTTACAAGTATAAAGCGGCTAATATGAGAAACTATACATTACAGAAGTATGGGCATTCTGTATTTACAAGTATAAAGCGGCTAATATGAGAAACTATACATTACAGAAGTACGGCCATTCTGTATTTATAAGTATAAAGCGGCTAATATGAGAAACTATACATTACAGAAGTACGGGCATTCTGTATTTACAAGTATAAAGCGGCTAATATGAGAAACTATACATTACAGAAGTACGGGCATTCTGTATTTACAAGTATAAAGCGGCTAATATGAGAAACTATACATTACAGAAGTATGGGCATTCTGTATTTACAAGTATAAAGCGGCTAATATGAGAAACTATACATTTCAGAAGTATGGGCATTCTGTATTTACAAGTATAAAGCGGCTAATATGAGAAACTATACATTACAGAAGTATGGGCATTCTGTATTTAATTTACAAGTATAAAGCGGCTAATATGAGAAACTATACATTTCAGAAGTATGGGCATTCTGTATTTACAAGTATAAAGCGGCTAATATGAGAAACTATACATTTCAGAAGTATGGGCATTCTGTATTTACAAGTATAAAGCGGCTAATATGAGAAACTATACATTTCAGAAGTATGGGCATTCTGTATTTACAAGTATAAAGCGGCTAATATGAGAAACTATACATTTCAGAAATATGGGCATTCTGTATTTATAAAGCGGCTAATATGAGAAACTATACATTACAGAAGTATGGGCATTCTGTATTTATAAGTATAAAGCGGCTAATATGAGAAACTATACATTTCAGAAGTATGGGCATTCTGTATTTATAAATATGCCAAGTTTGACCACAAGCTCCCAAAATGTAAAACACAAAATCTTCGTGAAGAACTAATTAGTTCAACTAGGATAAACATATCCAAATTAACAAACCAATAAAACTAATACCACAAAGTACCCACATGGTCCTGTAGGATATAGCCACGGCTCCGTCACTGCCTCCACTCCTCTTCACTCCAATGCTTATCTCACCGGGGTTCGCGTCGCTATGGTAACGGGTAGAGTCCACGGATATGGTGCCGTGATCTATGAAACGTTCTGTCAGGATTTGGGGGTTAAGGGGAAGCACCGCACGTTACCCGTCTCTGATGGTGAGGGACTAAACTCTTGGCAGATCTTCTCGTGCACACCTCCACTGCTATCAGATCGGGATTTTAGGGAGGCTCATGCTTTCTTCAATAATTAACTCTCCAAGGAAGCTCGATGGGCAGGATGATCCAAAAAGTGCTGGGTGTCAGTTTTCTCTAACGAAGACCTTAAAATGGAATGATTGCAATGCTAAAGCTGTTTTGAAGAGGAGAAGGTTCAATAAATGGAAGCAAAGAATTCAGTAGCAGGTTCTGGTTGTTCTGGTTGTTCTGGGCTAGAGTTTCAGAGTGACCGAGTTGTTGAGGCTGCCATATTGCGGGGCTGTCATATTGTGAGGCTGCCATATTGTGACTCACGCAGGCGTGGAGACATGGCAAATGCACAAATAGTACATATTGCCATTCCTAGCTCAGATCATAGCTTCGGCTACATTGCTTGTCCTGTTGTGCTTTTCTTTTTGCTTTTTCAAAGTTTTTTGTTCCATCAGGTTGACTAAGAGTACCTTATCTAAGGTTGAATCAATTGTGGCTCATGCTTTTATCAATATATAATATCTAAGTATCAGTGAGTATTGAGCAGGAATGCGTTGTTCAATATATAATAGCTGAATATCAGTGAGTATTGAACAGGAATGCGTTGTTCAATATATAATATCAGTGAGTATTGAACAGGATGGGAAGCTAAGAAGGAATGTTGGGGTGCAATTGAAGTGCCTTGGTTTCCTCATGTGAGCTGGAAATCTTACCACTTTCCGCCGTAGAATCCTGTCTCTTAGTCTTAGATTTAGACTTTGAGTTACTTTTACTGCGGTTTGTTGAGCTACAGTTACTGTGCTGTTTAGAGTAACTGTGCTGTTTAGCGAAAGGGTTACTCTTGGGTCTTCCAACTGAGCTAGAGTTACTGTGCTGTTTTGAAACACTCTGCTGTTTTGAAACATTCTGCTGTTTTGAAACACTCTGTTGTTTTGAGTAGCTGTGTTGTTTTGAGTAGCTGTGTTGTTTAGAGTAAGAGTTAACTCTTGAGTAAGAGTTACCTTCAGGACGTCTGACCCCATCTGAGACATACAACGATAAATTATTTCAACAGGCTCTAAGTTTAGGCATTGGAATCATTGTCTGCAATATGTTTGGTGTAGGTTTGAGGCATTAGAATCATCGTCTGCACTTTTTTAGATCATCCTGCACATCATCAAAGCAGGAAAAAGTTAATCTCAGTGAATTAGGATGGGCTGGCTGCTGGATTTTCAATAAATGTGGGCTATCTCACTTAAAGTTACAAACCCTTTTCTCACGATGACACCAGGCTTCAGGCTACACGCTCAATATCTGGGGGACAGTGCCGGGAAACTGGATAGTTTCAAAGGCTGAAAGTCTAGACTCAGGAATGGTAAAAATCTGGCAGCTGTTTGGTTCACTAAATAGCAAAAAAAACCGGAACTTTCACCCAAAGAAACCCTATCAAAGAAGTACCTCAAATGTAATACTACCATGCCAATTGCCAGTTTCATTCAACAATTATTCGCTGGGAAATATCAAATGGAGCTAATGGCTTCCGTCTCACTCTTAGTTCTCAAAATTAAGTTCAATTGTAAGCTGTAACTCTGTATAAATCTGTAAAGACTCAAGAGTCTCTAAGAGTCTCTAAGAGTTAAGAAGGTCATGCGGCCACTCTCCCAGCTAGCCTTACCGTATGTAGGTATACGTGCCAAGATCTGGCTACGTGCCAAGAACCATTTTTTGGCGGACCACCGGGTCCACTTTTTATTCCGTCCTGTGTAAACATGATATTCATGGGGACAAGGTTCTGAAGAGTTGAAGTCTCACACACGTGGTAAACACGTGGTAAACACGTGGTAAACACGTGGTAAACACGTGGTAAACACATGATAAACACGTGGTAAAATGGGACGGCTTTGTTTGGGGAACAGGTAACGCTGGTGCTATACATATCAAAAATTAACAGTACACGTTACGAGTGTGTGTGAGAGAGCTGATAACAAGTTCGTTTGGTACGTGACACGGATCAGTCGGCCATGTTCAATCATTAAGTTGCTGTCACGTGTGAAACGAAATCGTTATGCAATCCCTATGATCATGGATAATTACAAGAATGGAATATGCTTTCAAAGGATAATTAAAGATTCATAGCTTTAATTTAAGATTCATAGCTATTATAACTGCTAGGTATTACAGGACGTGATAAGTAAATCGTATTCGAAAAGTCTAGCAAAAGATAATGTAATATGCTGCGGGCCTCAAACAGCTGGTGATATCAGTGATAATATCAGTGATAATATCTGGCGGGCCAGACTCACTCGACATGTCCAGGATGGTGACAGTACAGATACTGGGATCCCCCAGATCTGTCTCCTTGGACGGGTTCTCCAAGATCACGTTAAACTCCTCCTGACGGGACTCAACCTCGTGGTGGAGGATGGGGATCCGTATCTGCTTCTTGATTTCGCCTTCTTTGAACTCCTGAAAATGTGATAATAGTTAGAGAGATGTCCAGCTGGTGGTGACTCCTAGTGGCTCCTCACCCACGTACCAGCTGAGCTAATGTGGTGATCTTGAGACGCTGTAAACAAAAAGGCAACGCTAATTAGGACAATTCAGGGCTTGGTCTTACAGTTATAGTAGAGAAAGTGGCATTTACAAATGCAGTCAGAAAACGTCCAACTGTGGTTCAGAGAGATTAGAGATAACGTTTTGTTGTTTTCACCATTTGCCCATTTGCCGGGTGATTACCATGGCCGTGTTTTGATAGGACTGACTATGTTACAGGAGACCACACATATTTTTGATATTCTTGTAGGGGTAATTAGCTAAATAGATAATTGGGTAATCACTAATCACTCGTGACAGTCGGACGTGGTAGACCAATGACCTCGAAAAGTGTGTTGATTTTTGGGCAATTAGGAACAAATATCCGACATTTTGGGTATACTTAAAAAGTAAACATGTTGGGAGAATGTTGAAGATTCAAACAATCTAATCTGGCTAGCTGGCCAGGATTAGATTTTAAAACCAATGTTGGCAACTGAAAATAACCTGCAATAACCACGGTTCCATACACGAAGTGAGGCGAGTCTAGACATATATTATTATCATTACATTTTATGTAACTCATAATGTGGTTGAGTAAGTCAGTGGTTATCATGCCTTTCTGCTTAGACTGGTGACCGCGCTGCTAACTAATTGTCTCTCAGAAAAACGGCAAGTTTCCATTTAAACTTTACCGTTATCACAGCTCTGTACAATATACTGAGAAACGTATTACAACCGTGGGCTTACCTCATTCGTCACAGTTTCAGTATCTATTTTAACATAGCTACTAGTAGTAGTAGTAGTAACTAACATTCGGCTAAAACCTCAGTTTATACCTCCCCCAAAAGTAAGGATTCACATTCTCCAGTTCCCGTGAATGAGATCCAGGCAAAAAGCAGCGCCTCCCTTAAGTAAGGTTTCTTGTGAGCTATAGTTTCCAGCCGCCAAGGATAACGGCTTGAAGTGCTACCCTCCACCCCTCACCCAGAGAGCTAAATCTGCACTACGACTGAGTTACTATGGCTGCTTTACTAATAGCTTGTCACTTGTAGGGTGCCGGGGTGAAATGTTTACCGTCCTGCTCACCCGACATCTGCTAATTGGTGACAACTATATCTCCATTATATCACCGACATAAGTTATCTCAAAAACATAGGGCAACGTAGGGGTTATATCTTGGATTAAATTTGTGATAATTTATTTGCTAGACGATATTATCAAAAATAATATGCAGGTATGTTAATATGGATTCATTTGCAGACGGCAATATGGCAGGAATCGAGTTATAATTCTTGGTATTCGGAGTTAGGAATATAATGTCAAAGGTGGTAAAGCGAGGCAGTGCGTTTTAAAATTAAATATTTGTTATATAATATTATATTTAAAGATCAGTAAATAAATACCACACATGAAGTCATTGATTTGATGAACAAATCATAGACACTAAGTAAAAGAAGCCTTTGCTATTTATAAATTTAAAGGATGAGCTAAATAAATTTCAATCACAGCACCGTCGCGTTAAGACATTGGAGGTGAAATGTAAAACATAATATATGAAGTGGACTCCTACCAAGACTCCAGATACAGGCTCGTAATCAAGATTGTAAAACATAATATGAAGTAATATATATAATATAAACTCCTACCAAGACTCCAGATACAGGCTCGTAATCAAGATTCTTCTTGGCAGACCCATCTCTAGTGGAGAAGTGTATGTAGTTAGAGTCAGCGTACGTGCACTGGAAGTCCTGAAAAAGGGGGAACAGTTTATGAGGTGCTCAAAGAAGCTTAATAAAAGATAAGAAAGTAAATTCTTTAAATTTATAGCTCAAGAATGATCACGTAATGTGCCTTGATGCTTTTTTTAATCACCAGATATAACATATAACATATAACTTATTAGACCTTCTCCGAAATAGCAAAAATTGCAGCGGCTCTGAGTTCATGGTTAATAAATGACCTTAAAACTTTTCCAAGAATGGTTAAGACCCCTTGTAGCAGATACCCAAAAAAACAGAAGATAAGTTTTGATAAGAGTTTTGTTTAGTTTAAGGTAGAAAGTTCAGCAAAGAGAAACAATAACCCCCCACAAATTCTAGGTGATTTCACGGTGCAGCTGATTAGTACTAACCTTGGATAAAGTTCCATCCTAAAAACAAACATTAGTTATATTTATATATTAATGACATGCAACATACAAAAGATGCAAGATATAAAGATGAATCTGGAAATAACATTTATCATCACGTGCACATCACGTGCACATAATTGAACATAATTAAAAATCATTACATTTACACATAAAATCAACACGATCTCACAACCCGTCCAGCTGGAAGCACTGGTCACAGTTCAGAGTTAGCCTCATTTACCACAGTACTTGCACGTGTTATAAAGTGCTGCGCGCAATGATATATCCTTGTGACCAGCAGCTTAACCATTAAGGAGCGTGAGTTGTAAGAACATCCTCTTCTCACCTGAATAAGTGCGGTAATGTCTTCAGCTTCAGGGGAATCGGCAAGAGCATCTTCTTCTTTCTTAACTTTGTCCTCACTGAAAAGGGGTAAGAGTGTTCCTTCTGAAAAGCCGCTATACAGATAAGAGGCGTATTTAGGGAGGAAAATCAGCAAACTCGGCATTTAAACCCGGCTAAGTTCAGATGAAACCAGAAACATTCACTATAAATTATTAAGGGAAAACCCAACATTCAAATTATTTTGGAAGACAAACTCACAACATTCACTAACAAAATAAAGAAGATAAAAGCTTACACGCCGCTTTAATGCACATATGATTTATTTTCAGGAAACATAAAACACAATACCACAAACTGTATGCTTTAAAACCTTGTTGCCATGGTAACATTTGTTAATCAACTCTCTGAGTATTTCAATCCAACGATTAAATTCCATTCCAATATGATTTGATCAGCACATGCAAAAAATTGAACGATAAGTACACCCTCAAGCTCAGGTATCTGGTATAACCACTCTAGATTCTTCAAAAGGAGCGTAACATAAACTCAGCAGGTATTAAGTTCCTTATTTACTCAAAAGAAATAGATGAAAAAAAAGAAGAAGTTTGTCTTGATGATAAGACTGGTGTAGTAACCACTTTATGATAATATATCTGTCTAGATATATTAGTATTATAACATTGTTATAATATTAATTATTATTATAACAAGCCGTGAACAGCGGATAAAATACGCGTACCGGTTACCATGACAACGTTTACCCACCTTGGAATGGGCTGTGATGTCAGATATGCTTTCAACCTGTCACTGTCCTGATCTGCCGAGCTGTGAAAAGGGGGCCAGTGTTCACATGTTAGGTGGTACACTAAAACACTTAAAATTCCCATACTTTGCTGGTTTTTGTTTCTGGGTTTTTGTTTTGCTAAATATGTTGATATCATTATAATTGTTAGTTGTTGTTTTTTTTTCTTCATTTGTTGTGTATTGTTGTTATACTCGCAGAGATTACGGCTTCAACTACTACTACGGGCTTCTCAGGCTGGAATACAAAGCTTCTGTGCCGTGTGTTATAGTGGTGTTTCATTCCGGAAAAGTTGTGGGTTTGGTGGGTTTTGGTGGGTTTTGGTGGGGTTTGGTGGGGTGGTCATGCTAGAACGGAGGAAACGGCGCTTCTCAGTGAGAACAGTGAGGGTAGTATGTGCTCACGCTGTTCTTCAAGCTCATAAGAAATGGGCCGACATTTGCTACGTGTTTTTCTCGTATTTGAGCTTCATGTAAAAAGGCTAATATCATGGTGGAATGAGTCTGCGTGCAAAGAAGAGGGTACAAGTATTTTTGGGTGAGAGTGGAGTTTTTTTGCGAAAGTTTTAGCAATTAGTTTAAAATAGCGAAGATTTGGGCCGAAGCCAAAAATTTTAACAGTACGCCTCGAGAATATTGTATAATAAAAAATAAAGCAACAATAATTTGTGATGAGAATACATAGAGTGCCATGAGAACATATAATGTGAATAAAATGTGCTATAAGACCAAGTTATTCATTTGCACAGAAAGGTTGACATCACAAATCGAACATAAAAGCAGAATAATTGTTAATTATCATCTTATACACAATCAATACTCATTGGATCCAACATTAATTTACATTTTGTCTATTCAACTGTTGATTGATTGGAAAAAACCGACAGAAAGATATAAAAGCCAGAAAACATAAAAAGTGAAAATTTATAAAAAACTTACGCCTTCTCTTCAGCCTTAGGTCTAAAGGAGGGGTTAGGTTGGTACGTTACATCAAGAACAAGTTCCTTTTGGTCGTGCATTATGTTGCACATCTTCTGATGGAAGTAAAAGAAACCTCGGATGGCGCCTGAGGAGGTGGGTTTACATTGTTCAGATTTTATAGTTTTATAGTAGTTGTACAGCAATACTAAGGTAATGGGACTACTGCACTACTACTACACTCGACCTCTGCATGATCCAGAGGATGTCACAATTTTACCTTCATACAGACATCGAACGCTGTAAGTGTAAGAAGATGACGATCAGACCTCGTTATTGAAACTGGTTTTAATACTAATATAGTCACGGTTTTGTTTTCTGAGCGGTTGGGTCGATTGAAGTGACGTATAAAATATAAATAGCCATGAGGAGATTAGAGGTTGAAAAATAGGTGTGGCTTAGTGTGTGTAGTTACCAGGTAACCAGGTAACCAGGTTACCAGGTATCCAGGTAACCAGGTTACCAAGTATCCAGGTAACCAGGTAACCAGGTAACCAGGTCTCCAGGTATAGTTATGTTTACTGAAATACATTTATGTTTTGATGGGACTTTCTTATTTGGGTTTAATCATGAAGAATTGGTAAGGTTTGTTTTGTTCTGCTTAAATTCATCTTTCTCTTCACGATTAAATTGGCGAAGCAGACGTAATTCATGTATAATTATATAATCCACTCAGGTTTAATCTATCCCTAAATTGCACAGATGTCTGCTGAGAATCTAAATGCTGATAGCAGGAATCTCCCTCCAGAGCACAGTACTCAGTGTTCACAAAGCGTTCAACTTGAACAACAAGCTGGATCCTTACTCATAGTACATTACTCATTGGTAAGCTGTCTGATGGGAGACAATAAGACACCGGTTCCTACAGCAATCCCAACCTTGTCGTCATTATAATCAACCAGACGAACAGTAACATGAATAAAACCATCATAATTGCAGCTTTAGTCGGAATTGCAGTCTAGACAGCAGACAGTTCTCTTGGTTAGCTAACAATGAACTCCAGTCTAATAGTGGACTAACTTAGGTCACATAAGTACGCTTTTGTCAAGAATTAATACATAATAGCTGCATTATTCAAGCTCCTAACTGCGTAGAAGCTAAGGAATTAATGATGACTCTCATTGCACGAGATGGGTGCTGTGTGTACCGGATATGAAGATTCGTAATGACCACGTTTCTTCCTGTTAAGTGAGCGTGAAATATGTATGATAACACGGGTTTAACTTTAGTAAGGTCGACATGCCCTGAGCGATAGGATTTAGCGATGGTACGAGGTCCGGGGAGACCCTCTGACCTCGCATTTTAAAAGAAGTGCTAACTTTTTATACTAATAATAGACTTGATGTAGAACATCAGGAATGAGAGAATGGACTATTTGAACATTCTGAATAACGTGTTAAGTTCATTTATAACATCAATCATCTATATAATAAGGAATACTAACTAAGACGTTGGAGTTCAGTTTCCTTTCTCCTGGCTTCTCTAAGCACTTCAACTAGAGTAGCGATCTTGGGGGGAGGTTTAGAAGCCTTGGTGCTTGAAGCACTGGTGATCAGTTTAGGAGTCACTCTTCTCGTACCCATCATTGAGCTCAGAACTGCGTGTCGGAACCTGTTGTAAAGGAGGAGTTAGGACTGGGTACGAGGGATGTTAGATTTGTGGACATTTCATCTCGCGACCTTTCACCCCCAATTCTTAACCACGATCACGTGCACACACTCCCATATCCCTAACCCTGAACCTAACCCTGAACCTAACCACAACCATAGAACTATCAGGGACACTAACCCTGACGAAAACAGTCTGTTAAAATGGCGGCGGATGAAAAGTCGAGAGTTGAAATGCCCGGTCCCTGACATTTTGTAACTGATCATGAGATCGATACTCAGGGCACTCAAAAGGAATGCTATTCTGGATGAGTATAGCTGTGTTTTTAATCTACATCTACATTCTACTGCATCAATGAAGTAATGAGTAACATGTAAAAGATTCTGCCACATTCTTTACAAAACATGCCACCCAAAGAGTTCTTAACTAATCGTGTTTCTATGTTAAGTGAATTATATGTATGTGATGAGGAGAAGAGCCCTGGGGTATATCGACTTAATAAGAGTCATAAAGCTGAAAAGTTATCGTTCTAGAAGAAAAATAATAATTTCAGTGTTGACTGCTAAGCTTTGAAAAGCTTGCTACTGTCGATAGTGCTGAAAGGCAGTAAGGCTTTAGTATATACGGAAACTATAGATAGGCTAAAACTGTCAAATAAGCGTCTTTTCCCAATTGAAGCAAATTCCCTCAAGCGCTGAAAGTGAAAGTTCCCAAGGACGAAACAAACGACACGATACAAGAAAACGGGTACATATAAATGGTTAAATTATTCATTTCACACACACAGCACAACATAAGGTATCCCGTCAATACATAAAACAGATGGTAATATGTACAGTTGTGCCCCCAATATAAACAGTTAGATAAACATGAACTGAAAGATGGGGCAAATGGGGGTTTCCACGGTGAACACCCCTTAACAGTCATCTCTTAAGAGTGATAATTTGTATGACAAGAGATAAACCAGAGAGGCCCAGGTAAGGTGGAGAGTGGGGCTTCAGGAAACACGGAGGGGGCACGACTGTACGAATCACACGGAAGACCGCAACATAATACGTGTACGGGGTACGTGCACGTTGGAGTAATAATGATACTACCTTGAGCGAGACAGAGCACTCGTTTCAGTGACCCTGTGAACAATTGTTACAGATCCCACAATTACAGATCCCACAATTACAGATGCCTAATTGTTGCAGATCTTTTTTAGTTATTTAAAAGTCTGTAGTCAGGTCCTGATTTACCGTCCAATTATTTGGTAAATCAGCGTATAGCGCCAAGAGTTTTTTAATTTAAAAAGAAAACATTCCTACCGAGAGTACTTATGGAGTTTTCAAACATTAAGAAAGCAGTTTTACAAAAAGTATTTTATCTGCAGATTCAGTTTAACCCATGAACTTGATGTAATGTGCTTTAGGGGTCGTTCACATATTACGTAATCACTGAGGGGGAGGGAGGGGGTTTCTAAATGATTACGCTAGTTTCATTTTAACACACTAGCTATGTGTAAAACTGTTCACAGAGGAAGGGGGTTTAAAGGTAGCTATTTTTAATTTGGCCAGTGATTACGTATTATGTGAACGACCCCTTATTGAATTAGCTGTACAATTTACATCGAGCATTCACAGCGCCACACAGAATGAAAACCACATTTGATTCAGCGAGTGACAGAACTTACGACACCCTGTTTCTAGCTTAAAATTTGCAAAAAAAAGCAAAGCATCAGCAACAGCATTCTTTATTTGCATCAGCGCAAGAAACAGTAATTTACTGAGAATCTATGAAAAGTCATGGTTACCAACCTGCTTCTAGCAAGAGCGGTAGTGGGACCCTGATGACTGGGATCCCCTTCTACACCCTGGACTTCACTGTTCTTGTCGAGTAACTTCACCCAAGGGTTAGGTTTGGCGGCGGACTCACCACTTGGCTCTTCGGCGGCATCTGGCGCGTTTCTCAAGGCAGCCCACTTAGATGCCCCAACGGGCGCAGCGGGTGTGTCGTCTGCTTTTTCAACGTCATTGTGGTTCCTAAGAGGCGTCTTTGTTAACAAAAGTAAGACAATGAATCAAGACTCGAGGAAGCTCAATTAAAGTTTTCTGTACCATGATGAAGAAACAAATCTCAGTGATATCACTTCAGACATTTTGTCTATTCAATTCCTTTAGTTTAAAGAAAACCCGAAATGGTAAATGAAACATACTCATGGTTTTTGTTGAGATGCTCATTCGAGTCTGGATGGAACATGGGGAGCTGTCCCTTTTTCTTTTGAGTGGTCAGAAGTTTCACCTGAAACAAAATCATATGTAAGCAATAATTCCGTCATCTGGTACTGAATCTCAGCATTTTTATTATCAAACAGCGGCATTCACAGTCAGACCGCAGACGGACAATTATTGTGCTGCTGTTCCTACCGTAGATATTCAACTCTCTGTAGAAATAAAAGCTTCAGAGCAATTTGCTAATGCCCTGCAGCTGCTGCGTCTGTTGTGGAGGTGGGCCGCGTGCATGCAATTACCGGTTACTCCACTTCACCACGTGATGCCCTTATAAGGAGTGCTGTTACCACGTGATGCCCTTATAAGGAGTGCTATCCATGCAATTACCATTTACTCTACAACAGCTCCATATAAAATAGTGCTGTAATGGCACTGCAGATTCATTAAAACTATCAGTGGGAGGAACAGAGTAAACAGTTCCGATAACAGGTACTTAGTTCCAGGTACCCTGTTCACTGCTTCCTCTCACAAACACACCTCGTCCGATATTCCGTCGGTGAAATAATCACGTGATCACCAATAACCACGTGATCACCTAATAAGGAAAATAACATCTGACTATTACAGCGGTGAATATATAACGACACGTGACACGCATGTTACATTTCAGCATTTACAGTATTTTCAGTACATTATTATGCTAATCAGCCGATATTAACCTGAGCAACGTGAACATGGTCTGACCTGCAAGCTGAGGGCTTAAATTTATAATTTTGCACCAAAATTCCCGGTTTTAATTGATTCTAGATCATTTTGGGCTTCCCAGTTCTGTATTCGAGTATAATTTGAGTTTTGTTGCGGAAGCCCAAATTTGGAATTCCAAAAATTCAGGGTTACTTAGGTCTTAGGTGTACCACGACAAATCAACTTTAACTGCCAGGAACGCCGTTCCAGGTGGAACGGGTCAGTAAACATTTTTCTTGAAATTACGGCCTATTTTTTCACGTAAAAAATATGTCTTTTTGAAGTGTGATAACTAGTACGGTAGATCGCAGCTAATTCCTAGAGGCAGACCTGTGCTGCTCTATTCGATTTATATAATTCGAAGACCTGACTAGTAAATTTTAAAAGAACTGAAAATTTGTTGACGTATCGCGACGTTAGACGTGTTGGTCGGACAAAGTTTAAAAGTGAACTGTCCTAGGAGTCAGAAGGCACAAATTTACTGAAATTTAGGAGTTCTATGCCGACAGACAGTGCACTGGCAGTGTCCAAAAACTTCCATAGAAATTTTAAAAGATATATATAATAAGGGTTTCTCAAATTCTACGTAGATGGCACTAATATAATAATACTCTAAATCTCGTAGAAAAGCGGAAGCTTTAAAATAGAGAAAACATTTTTGGTCCAAAAATTTCACTGCACACTTTTTTGTGTAAAAACGAGAATCTCGGGCAGGTTCAGAGCAGTTGAAACAATATTTTTTAGTTCACGTTACTAATGAGGAATCGTTCAGATATTTCTTAGGCCAAATATTTTCAATCAAAAGCCCACTCTCTTTCGGTAGAAGCGAGAAGCCGCAAGCCCCCATGAAGCCGAAAGCTGTTCAAAGGAGAGCGATGATTTCTTAAACATTCTTAAAGAATCATTAAGGAAATCTGCAATTATCGTTTGATATAAACTTTTAAACAGGACCAACAATTCTTTGTGTCTACAAATAACCATTAAATCGGCTTAACGTAAATATTTCGAAACCCCCTTTCCTTAAACATTGCCGAAATATGTGAACGATTCTCAAATTTAACATCACGCATGTCATATTAATGTGAGTTATGTCCACTTTCATAATGGGGGAGATAACTCAGTTTTTTTGCCGTCTCAGTCCTACCAAAATGTTACAGCAAATCAAGTAGAACGACAAAAAACCTCGTTAACTCCCCTGTTTATACTTTGGCCTTTTTGGCAGTATCAAAGCAGCCCGACAAGCTCAAATGGCGTGAACACTTACCCTAACCCAAACCTTAACCCTTATCATAACCATTATATTCCGAGATATTCACACGGAATTGAGCTGGTCAGGCTTCTTGGAAAACTGCCAAACATTTCAGTAGTTTTAATGTCAGCTGACACAAACATCTCACACTCACATTGGAACTCTTTCTTAATTCCCTGGTCGTTGGAAGACCACTTTTAGCCTATTTATGTGGGGGTAAGTAACTGGTTACACGACTTGTTTGGGGGGTAAGTAACTGGTTACACGACTTGTTTGGGGGGTAAGTAACTGGTGGGGTTCGTTACACGACGGTTTGTTACGGTAGATTGTAACGGGGACGGGGGAATCAAAAGATATAAACTTCAACTCAAAATGCTATATTGCTTTATGCTGGATATTATGGAAGTGGCAATGAATCAGAATTTTACACAAATGACGTGGATTATTAGATTATTGACACTGAGCGATATTAAAATAGAATAATCACCATCTCAGCGTCAATAACAGTTCAAGGATAAGTACAGTGAACAGGAAAGTCTCTCAAATATCTCTCAAAACTTATATAGCATATTTAACAAATAACTGCAGACAAGGAATCGTTATAACACAAAAAGAACACCAAGAATCACAGTAAGTAAGAAACAACAACTATAACACGTGGAAATTACCATGAAGGGGGCCTTTTTACCGATACACCACCAGTTGTTGTCCTGAGCCCAGGCGTGGAGAATCAGGGCTGGGAAGAAAAGGAAGGTCACTACTGCTTCCCACAACTCTACCTGCAAGTTTTCAAATTAAATGAAAACTGTTAAACTATTATTCAACTATTGTTCAACTATTATTCAACTATTGTTTCACTTTTCATGCTTGTTTTATTTAGCGCTGATAAATAATTGGAGCATATTATGATCATGTGTTCCAACTAGGGTTTAAGCTGATCTGTAATTCCAGATTCAGCCCCGCTACTTCAACATCAGCAACTTCATTCACCACGTGCAACTTCATTCCCCACGTGCAACTTCATTCACCACGTGCAACTTCATTCCCGACGTGCAACTTCATTCCCCACGTGCAACTTCATTTCCCACACGTGCAACTTCATTTCCCACACGTGCAACTTCATTCCCAACACACGTACGTGCAATTCTTTTTATAAATAGATTCTTTTATCTCGATTAAATAAGTTAATGTCTCTATTATTTTCTGACATGTATCTCATTAGAATGCTGAATGCATTGTGATACGCAAATACTTGAGTAGGTCTCATAGTATGTCGACGCGAAAAATATGCAAAACAGATTAATATAATGCGAGTTTACGATTATACATGATATTAAACCTATATATTTAATAACCGATGCGTGACCTAAGTGGCCAAAACTCGATTAATATTGTCGGGCTAGCGTAGGAAAAACAACAAAAGAAAAGGAAACAAAAAGAAGATAATAATTTTTATTTCTAAATATACAGTATGTCCAGAAACCAACCTGTTCAATTTTCCTTAGTACTTATCTTAGGGTGTTTTCAAAAGAAAATGTCATGCAATATTATAGTAACGTTTGACTGAAGAGTTTTCATTAACATGTCGATCATTTCATTATTTTTAAAGAAGATACTTGAAAAGATAAGGATCTTACCTCATTGGGAGAGTTGTATTGCAGTACGATAAGAATCCAGACATAGGCGAACACACTCCATAACGCGGTCGTGCAGAACACACCTGTGGTATTTAGTAGTTAGCATGCTCACCACCACTCAATCTCATTTCTAATTCCATTATCAGTGATAAAACTGAGAACAAGTAGATCTGCGAAACAACAGGAATCGTTACACGTTATGTCCATATAAGGAGATATTTGTTGGGAACTCACCAAACTGTTCGATCCTCTTAATTTCCCCTTTGGCTGGAGAGAAGATGCAGATTCCAGTGATGACTAATAAATTAAAGGCGGCACTGCCAATAATGGTAAATGTACCAAGACCACCAATTTCTGAATTAATGTCTATTTCTACTCCGGAGGCGAGAAGGCCCAATTGTTCTACAAAGGCCAGTAGGATCTCAGGGGCCGATGAACCAAGGGCCATAAGTGAGAGATTCGCAACAGTCTCGTTCCATACCAAGACTTCTTTGGTATTCGCTTCATTCGTTATGGGGTCGAAGCGAGTAATGACTTTTTTCTTACTCGTTATAACTTCTATCGCCCCCATGAAAATGTCTGATATAATGGCAATACCGATAAAAAGATAAAACATGAAAAGAATGTACAGAAAACCCCTGATTCCTGCGCCCCACAGGTTTTCTCCGGGCAACAGCAGCCATGACGCGCACACTTTCAGTGAATCAGGCTCAAATTCCACGATAATTCCATTCCCAAACTCCTGAAAGGTAAAATTCTTGCTTTCAGCGAGTTCCACCCACTCCGCTCCTTCGTTGGACATGATGGTGGTGAGATTATATTCCTTGTTTTAGTTATGATAAGCTGCAGCGTACAAAAAGTATCAGATAGCGTGGTGATCTCAGCAGCAGTGTTTCTATTGGTTGTCAAGGCGATTGTTCCATAGACCAGCTGCAGACTCACGTTATCATACTGATATTAAACACTGTTAGAATGAATAGAAAATCATGATGTTTAAATTTTCTACATGAATATATCGATCATCGATTGATTAATATAATTGATAACACAGACTATAATATGCATTTGAATTACAGAGCTATCATACTATTTTTAGTGAGACCGATCAATATTTAATATTTAAGAATGTGATTATCTTAAAATAATATTTATTAAATAATATTTATGTCACTGACTAGTTGGTGTCACTAGTCGTGTGTGGTTATTGTTAGCACAAGCCAACTTATCAGGGTTTAAAATTACACAAACAAGCAAATTTAAATCAGTCAGATCTGATTGTGTTACTAGCATCAAATGAAGCATTGAAAATGACGCAGTACACACGTCTAAGCTTGCAACTGTCATGCACACGAAGTTGTACCAAACCGAAACTGTGAACACGACTTATTATTGTGGCTCAAAACAATACTCACCACCAAAGACAATGGTTAATTTCCAAAATGACTAGAAACAGGACAAGAAAAACGGCTGAACGACCAATAGTGGACTAAAATATTATTATTATAACGAACATCGGTCATAGTTGAGTGACCAAGAAGCCTACTGTTCACTGAATAGTTGGTACCACGTATTGTGTGTGGCTATTATTCAACTATTCGAACCGTTAACAACAGCATGCGATACTCGGTCAGTAATATTTAATAAGACAGTTATTGCCATTATGTTATAATATACTGGATTTAATTGTTATCGGGAAGTAACATTAACAAGCAAATATTCGTTATATACATGTCCGAAGAGTGGTACGAAGGTGCACCATACGTAGCAGTGGTTAACAAATAGCACCGGTAGTATTGGCCAATCAAAACCGAGGATTGCTGTCAATTCATCACGTGTCAAAGTGAATTCACCTCCAGTATTCACTATCCAGGTATATATAGTGGTACAATGATAATTGGTATCAAGATCATTAACCAAAACCAGTCCATCATACTTAATTACACTAATACATTTAATAACACTAATAACACTAGTACTTATTACTTAATTACACTAATACCACTAAATATAACTTAACTTAATATAATTAATATACGTGTTAATACTAGTACACTAAGTATGCTAACCGTACCATTAACGTATTGGTGGGGGGACGAATTATTATCATCACAATTCCGTCGTGAATAATTGATTCAGCAAGCTAGACTGACACGAAGCCGCAAACTTAAACAATACCACCAAGGAAGCTTGAGGGTGGATTGGTGTTGGACAAGCATAAAATAAAACATAGAGTAAAGAGAACGAGTAAAGCTGGAATAAACCTGTAGCAGTGGCTCAAGTTGGAATGATGAAAATATGAGATAAATCGAGAGACGCCTCAAACACGCACGTCCATTATCAATTAAAGTATATTAAGTTACTAATAGAGAGGTGGATTGTTACTCGCTACAATGAAAACTAAGGACTGCACAATTTAATTAAGTGGGGCTTTAAGCCGGCTAGTGCTCAGGTCACTGGTATCATGCCTCATTAATTACAACGTAGTTAAGCATCAGTTATTGGCAAAACTAAACACAGTCGTGTGTGTCAGAACGGTTAAATGATCAATCTAAATCATTCGAGTGACCAAACGAACGGTTCCCAACACATCTAAAGCTGTCGCGGCATGCTGATAGTGAAACTGTAGTGCCGTTCTCACATTGTGGCACTAGACACATCACTAGTACCAGCTTATCCCAAAATTTCTACACCATGAGAAAAAGAGAAAGCCCGTACGTTATACTGATACCGTATATCAGAACATGTTTTGCAGCGCTGTGACACCGGATGTGGTTCATTCGGGCACTATCGGCAACCCAGGGAGTGAGATTCCATTTGCTGCAAACCAGGGAGGGAGATTCCATTTGCTGCAACACTGATTCTATTAGAAGGATGTGGCATTATAATCCAGTAAGCTCGCACCCATCTGCGTGTGATAATGTCATTAACAAATGTTTCCTGTACCGGGATTGTTCCACTTATTCACCCGGTACACTTATTGAATCTCTCCTCGTGCTTCACCTATGCGTCATTTCAGACATGGTTCCGGCAGTTACACGACTGGAAATGTCTGTGAAGGCAACACTTCTTTGTCAACACTGTCCACCTAGTTTCATTTGTTTGATTCCCAAAGTGAGAGCGTCATGGGGTCGCGTGTTAGTAAACAGCGTGTTAGTACACTGTTAGACTAAACCGTGGACACACTTTATTGAGCTCAGTTTAAAGTGTGGACACACTCCACTTAATTCTTACTTACTTGTACTTGATTAGGTCTCCTCAATCATTCGAGTGGCCTGCACCAATGGACTCCCGTTTGTGACGTATCATCTCCCTCCAAAGTTTTCGGTCATTAGCCATCTCGCTCGCTCCTTCTAGGTCTATGTCAGTGTTTCCTGTAAACGATGCAGCATCTTCCAGCAAACATTTCCTCCAGTAATTCAGATCAGTTTAAAGTATAAACTTTAGAGTGTGGACTGCTTCAATGCCCCCTGCCTCTTATCTGGGCAGAAGAAAGTGGAGGGAAGCAGAGGATAACAGCAGGTGATTCTCCAGTACTCACTCCCTGAACAAATTACCAGCAAACTCTCTCGCGAAATAATTGAACTGAGAAAGTGTGGGAAAAGAGAAAATATTGACGCTTATCAAGGCGATTACGCAGGGGGGTGTGAATTTGCGGCGCGTGCGGACAAGTTATAAACACACTGTCAACACAGCATTAACTTCCAATTCTTATTCATAATACAATAAAACACTGATAGATGAAGATATTAGAGGTGCCAGCTGTGGTTAACTTGTAATGATAACAATTAATAATGTTAATTCTTGTGTGTATGTGTGCATACTGAATTACAACAATTAAAAGTTTCCGGAATTAAGACGTCAAAGTTATGGAAAAAGATGCACAAATATGGAAGGATATTCGAATCATTGAATCACAAATTCCACATTTAAAGTTGAAATTCGGGTTTAAGTTCAGGTGCCATGAATCCATGGAACTAAAAAAATGGAACATCGAGAACAGTGCCTTTAAGTTTAAAGTCCGATTTTCCATAGTCTACTGAACTGAAACAACGATCTAACCACTCCAAACGGCTTACCGAATCTACAACCAAACCACACCAAAACAAACAAGAGCTCATTGTATAAAATCTATTGAGATAAAAGAGCGCGACTAAGCAAATCAGACGGGATGACCACACCAAATGAAGCCATGTTCCTCAGTTGGTAAAATATTATGTATTATTAACAATGCATAGTGCAAAGGAGTGAAATTTTGGAGTGAAATAGACGCATTCAATTATAGCCGCACACTGGTAGCCATATTCAACCGCTCTCGAATAGCCGCATTCGAGTAGCCACACCCTGGTAGCCGCTCTCAAATAGCCGCACTGAAATAGCCGCTCCCGAGCAGCTGCACTCGGGTAGCCACACTAGTTCGCTCTTAAAAGATATGATGCGCGTGACGAGGGTGGCTCGTTAATCAGGAGCTATTACGACAAAACCGGCATAAGTGTAGTGAGATTCGGCAACGGAAAAGGGCAATTAGCAGATGTGTTGATGTGATATATACGAACAATTACTCATATATTCACTACTGGTCTTGAGATGCAGCAAAATAATTTGCCAACGTAGGAATCCTTATACGAGTAGGAAAATGTCCGGATTGTGTTGGGGAGTTTAACTTGTACACACTGAGATTGGGGCTGCTAATCGAATTACTGTGCAGATGTTACAGTAATATGGGCTGATACTTTCATGAGAAATGGCACAAACTGAAGACCGTTACTTTCAACAGGTTTTAACAACAACTTTCTTAGACCTAGAACAGCAAATCCAGTAAAGTGTCGCCGCATAAATTCCAGGCTAGCACAAAGTTATCAGCATTTTCGCGATACCAAGTTGAAGTACACAATGGAAGCAAGTGAAGTTTTATTTTTCATGTTCTCGCTTGCATTGGATATGTTTAATAGAGTATAAGTAGTAGCAAGCATCAGCGAGCCGGTAGTAGCCGGTAGTAGCACCAGCGAGCCGGTAATAACAAGTAATCCTCCCAGTAATACCATTTATACTTGATATTAGAGCGATAAAACAATACCACAGCCGGGGTTATGATACAATTAAAATACAGTGGCCACCATAATAAAGTGGACCAAACCAATGTGAGATCCTATTGTTAAATAGTCAAATATATGCTTCACCAATTTATAAGCTTAATTGTACTTTTTGTAGCCGGTGAGATTCAGTTGTCTGGACGATCGGCGGATCGCTGGTTTAAAACTGAAGCGTATCGGAATATATTATATATACGTTATCAATTTCAGAGCTGTTCAAGCAGCACATTCAATATTCATTAAAATTTATTAATAAAACAATAGAGTTGAAAAACTCTATTGAGCATGGGACAAAAGTGTCGGCGGTCGGAAATCTTAATACTAATGGGGAAGGGCGAAATCTGTATTGACACGTGACAGTGATTCTAGGTTTTTATTGGTCAATGCAGAAAACTGAGAAACTGATTGGTTTGATCATCATCACGTGTCAGAATTGAATATAGTCGACCTCCCTATCAGTATCAAGTTCTACAGAAAGGCACGGGAGCTGTTCGCGAAGAAAAGAGAGAAGGCTTATGAAGAGAGAGGAACGGTAGCCATACCGTTCTCTCTTAGCACTCCTCTCTTAGCACTCCTCAAATAATACCGTCCTCAAATAATACACTCCTAGCCTCTCTTAGCTGGCTAAACCGCTGTGCTGCATGTTGACCGGCCTATCAATAACATATCAACAAGTGCGATTGTTCAGCCGAATAATTCCTTTATTTGTGTAAAAGACAGAGCGATAACATCATGATGATATGTAAGACGGTGTTTGTTTGTATTTGCACGTTTTAAATTTGAACAGCGCAGCGTTTATCATTTATTCAGCGGCATATTGGCTTGATATCGGTCCCTCCCTATTTTATTTTTGGAGCTTCAACAATGTTT